TATATAAGCACAAGTCATCTTTTAAGCTAGAAAACCTTAGAATTCTACTGGACTAGCCAAACGTGTGGAAATTAAAGGAAAAAATAAAATAAAAAAGAACCCATTGTAAACTAGAAAATTAAAAAAAAAGCAAAGGCTTACGACAATCATAGAAATATCTGCAACCTTTGTCAACAAGAAAAGTAAGCTATAATAACATTTACAGACCACATAAAAATTTTCTGAATGAGTGATCGGAAATTACCTACTTCTTTTTGAATACTAAAAAGTTCTTTTTGTGTTCATATAAGGTGGGATGAAATGAAAGTTTGTATATTTCATTTAAACCCCCGCCGATACATTTCCAATACACGTACTTTCCTTCTCATAACTTTCTACCACTATATGTCGCGTGCTTATTTCGTTATTTTTAAAACAATATAGTGTTCTTAATTTTTTTAAAATAAAGAGTGCCGAAATCAAATGACCGAAATCACCTGAAGATGCCGGGTAGCAGAATCGGCTGATCTCCTAAATTTATATATATATATATATATATATATATATATATATATATATATATATATACATGCATGCATATATATATATATATATATATATATATATATATATATATGTGTATATATGTGTGTGTGTGTGTGTATGTGTGTGTGTGTGTGTGTGTAAGTGTGTGTGAGTGTGCGTACAGCTGTGTGTGTATGTGTGTGTATTTGTGTGGGGGTGCGTGCGTATGTTAATAGCTAATTGCGTATATATTTTAAATATTGGATCATATATGTGTGTATAAAAGTAATCGATATATTTAGCTATACATATCGGGAGTCAGCTTCATGTTCATGTTAGTACTGATAATCTCAGATGAGGAACATTCTTTCCATTTGCAAATCCCAGATGTGTTCGGCCTTTTGTAACATGTTCGAATGTTATAAACTAGGAAGATTTACTCGCGCCAGTTACCAAATGGGGAAGGGCATTATTTACTTTTGTTGCAATATCAATATTCGAATTATGTCAGCTCTTACACACACACACACACACACACACACACACACACACACACACACACACACACACACACACACATATATATATATATATATATATAAATTATTTATTTATTTCATCCAAGGCAAGGCAATAAAGCCACTAAGATGCAAGGGGGGTTACTGAGTGTTACAGAATATGAGAAAAAAAAAACTAATAAGGAAATGGAACAATAAAAGAACAGGAATTAAGGAAACAGAAGATAACGATTGACATCGTATACAAATGGTTGAAGAGCAAAGTTGGCTGGGAAACAGGAAAACCGGAAGAGCGTTCCACAAGTGAGAAGTGCGATAGAAGAAACTCTTAGCATAGAACTTACGGTTACTTCCAACCATTTCAATTGTAAAATGGTGGTACCATGCCGCCAATAACATACTGCATTTAAAATCATAAAGTCTAGGACTCATAGAGGAAAGTTCATCAGAGCAATCACCATAAAAGTACTTATACAAAATTCACCGAGAAGTTACATTATTTCACACACACACACACACACACACACACACACACACACACACACACACACACACATATATATATATATGTAAATATATATATGTATATATATATATATATATATATATATATATATATATATATATATATGTATATATATATATATATATTCATGTAAGTTATATATACGTATGCAATTTTTCATATTTATTATTTATATATCATATATGCGCGGTACTTATTGGAAAGCGCTCAACATCCTGGGTTTCACGCTATTTGCGTTCATCAGACAAACTGATTAATCAGACGAACTCCCACCAATACAACTATATATATATATATATATATATATATATATATATATATATATATATATATATATGTGCCATATTAAGAATTGATAGACCGAAAAACATTAAAACTCGAACGAAGTTTGAATGTTTTCTGTTTTATCATTACTAATCTTATATGTGTGTGTATGTTTCTGTGTGTGTTGTATATATATATATATATATATATATATATAAGGTAGATAGATAAACAATGATATACGTTGTCTTGACGTATATATTTTCACACATTTTTCGAAGTCATTCCATTAAATAAAGAACTTTATTTTCTTTGTCCACACACGCGCGCACAACAGATACACACAGGTATACTGACGCACACACACATGTGAAATTTGTTATTACATTCACTCCCACATGCAACGTATGTTAACACAGACACAGAGACACATGCACACGTATATTTAAATCTTAATGCACACACACACACACACACACACACACACACACACACACACACACACACACACACACACACACACACAGAAATAAATATATATATTTATACATATATGTTATTAATTTTGCCTTGCTGATGTTGGAATCCAACAGACCTTCGAAAATCAACAACTCAAAATACATAATCCTACTATCTAACATTCTCCATATACAACTTCAATTTATATTTATATATGTAAACAGATACGCCCACACCCATACACACCATCCATATATATATATATATATATATATATATATATATATATATATATATATATATATATATATATTTTAAAAAATATGACAAACTAGAAAATTTCTTGTGACGCACTTATTCATATCCTGCTTGCATCTATACGCACACGTATATGACAGAACCTTGTCTATATCGGCGAAATTTTTTATGGTAGTTATTGGGGAGTGATTCCCTTTGTGATCCATTTTTCCTTTGTTAATTATTCTTGACATGCCAGTAACGAGACATTTTTGTCAAATCCAGATAGAAAGACTTGCGGATAGTTGCCGAGGGGCCTTAACATAAAAAAAATAAAAGCGAACCTTGAAAGCCTAAGCTTATATTCAAACTCAGTTCACCTTTTTGCGTTGGAAACTTCTGCGCAACATTCTGACCCAACATGCACCCACGCCGGCTCGTATTTTTTTTTTTATTACAATACGGTTCATCCTTTAGAAGGCCCGCGGGCCACTCGAGGTAGAGGGTTATGTTAGGAGCCCATTTGTGCATATAAGAGTGGGAGTTAACGGTTAACTAGAGCCTTCAATAAGTGAAGATTGTAGCGATCGGAAAAAACATTCTGTTGGGAGTCGGTTCCACAGGGCAGTGGTTCGCGAGGAGATGCTGTTCGAGTGGAACTTACTACTCACCGATCAAATACGGAGGGAATGTGGGTAGATTGCTTTTTTTTAGTTAGTATTATATATATATATATATATATATATATATATATATATATATATATATATATATATATACAGTGTAACCCGGATATAAGAGAAACCCGGATATAAGAGAGATTTTCTCTGGTCCCAAATTAGAGCCTGTGTAAATGTATATAAAATAGACCAAACCCGGATATAAGAGAAACCTGGATATAAGAGACTTATTCTCCGGTCCCGACAACTCTCTTATATCCGGGTTACACTGTATATATTGTTTATACGTTGTTTTTTTTTTAAAATAATTGTCGGACTTAGTCCATTTCATAATATATATATATATATATATATATATATATATATATATATATATATATATATACACTCAAAAGGTAGATATATGTATGTGTTCATAGATAAGAAAAGTAAATATTTGCCAGCAGTTGTTTTATTTTTTTTTTATATCTGAAAACGTGTTATTTACAGACATATTGGGAAGTCTTCAGTCGGACTAGGAAACAGACTTACAATCCAACACCTACGCTTAACAACGTAAATATATGTATCAAAATAAAAACTATGTCAGCACAATCCATGCGATTTTTATATAGTCGATGAAAAAATAAATACCTCTTGTTTTCTCAACTCAAAATGATAAACTAATAAGCAAATGATAAATAAAGTTTCTTACCTTTTGTTAGCCAAATTGTACTTGATTCTATCTTTCCTTTGTAATCAGTTATTTAAAGTGTATCTTTACACCTCTCTTAAATTCGGATATTTTCCGATGTGAGAGTGTAAAAAAAAAACTGTGTTAATAAATGTGAATATATAGTAAAACTTGTGTATTAGTATAAGTATATAGTAGTATTAGTAGGTATATTGTATGTGCGGATTAGTAGAAGCCGGCACATTTATATATGTAAATATTACTTTTTTTTTTGTAGTCGCCGGTAGTTTATAAGTGAAATTGTTATTCGATATTCTTATTTCTTAGATGAAGCATTGGAAAGTATTTTTACTATTATTCATTATATTTCCGTTGAATTTTATGACAGATTCCAGATCGTCATTCTACGATCGTTAAAGGTAAAAAAAAACAAAAAAACTCCTGGACCAGAAATAAAGAATCCGATACACCTCCGTTCTTATTCGTGTAACTGGTTTACTTTTTTCTTATATAAGTGTATGTAAGCGCTTAAGTTTTTCTTTTTTTTTTTAGTTCCGTATATTCCATAGACATAAGATACTTTTTATTGGTTGAACTGAATTAAAAATCGTTGTTATTTGTGCCAGAAATTGTTACTGAAGTAGTGAGGCGAGACAGAAGTACTCCTTACTGAATATTGCCTTTTTTTTAATTCAAGTTAACTAGTCAACGATATCTGGTGTGTAAAACTTTTTGTTTTCTAGTTTACACAGACACATATATAAATATATATATATATATATATATATATATATATATATATATATATATATATATATATATATATATATATATATATTTAAGTTACGATAGACCAACTGTACATATTCTTTTGAGAACTATAAGACGATATTTTCTGTGATTTTAGAAATCTTCATAATCGTCTGAGCAGTAGTACTTGTAGTTAAGATTGTGTTAGTTGCACCTATAAGAGCATTGGTGTCGCTAGGCGTTGAACAGCTAGTCCCAGCTTTCGCTGTAGTTGCTTCAGTTGTAGTAGTATTCACAGTGAGAAGTGAACCCAACATCCGACAACGCGGTGCGCTGAATATGTAAAATATCTTTCATCTTTTGGACTACTGAAGAGAAACAGTTGGCGCATGTCGCTGGTCGTACGAGGCAGCTTCGGGGTTAGAGGAGCGGGTGCTTGTTCAAGAGACGCTCCGAAACGAATCGACTTAATGTAAAGTTGGGCTACCTTATGGCGTGCGTGCCTCGCTGTGTGTGTGTGCGTTTGTGTGTGTGTGTGCGTGCTCGCTATGCTTTTCTTGTGTACGCGTGTTCGCATTTTAGCGGATAGTGTTTGAAACATTGATATATGAAGTTTACTGCGAATAACAAAACATTGGGAATGGATAGTTAATGGGGACGGTTATTAATTAGTAAATCCTTAATTGACATAGGCAAATAATTGATATTTTTAAGTGACAATGAAGGCTTATGAATCCGGCGATAGGCGTTGGGAGACAGCTTGAAATAGAAATCAGTCATTATTTTCTAGGGCTTTCAAAGGACATGCCATCTGCAATTGTATTTCTACCTAATTTTATTTATTATTTATTGCTACGAAATGACGCGGCGGGAGTGATTTGCCATGAATGATATTCCGATGACAATGTCGAAAGATAAAACACATTTCCCCAAAGGACTTGTGATTGATCCTATTGTAATTTGTTACAAGTTACTTCCCCTCATATATATATATATATATATATATATATAAATTATATATATATATATATATATATATATATATATTTAATATATATATATATATATATGTTTAATTCTACCCATGACTGATAGCTTACATCCATTAGACATGGCACGTGGAACAAAAACAGTCTATCCCAGCGAGTGAAATAAAGGGTTCAGTTTGACATTCCAACCACCCGAAGAAGGCCGAAGCGTACAACGGCTGAAACCTTGTGATAAATATGGCAACAAAAATGAGGACAATAGCCCGAATGAAGTAAATAGTGTACGTAATACTTTCACAGGTGTGTATATATATATATATATATATATATATATATATATATATATATATATAGATACACCTACCTAGGTTTCACCTAAACGGATCGTCAGGGAAAGTTTGGCTAACGAGGCAAAGAGAAACACATATTTATAGGTGATAGCTAAAATCATACCACGTGACAAAATAAATAAAAAAACAAAACAAAAACCTAAATGGGGGGGGAAATATTTATTCAACAAAAAAAAAAAAAAAAAAAGTGGAAAGTCAATAACGGGAAAACGTCTAATTTAGTAGCCAATATTTTTTATGTCTACATACATTGAGAATTTCAGTTTTAGAGTTTAATAGTTGGTTGGGTTTATACTATAAAGCTATGGCTAATTTCTCCTCAGCACATAATTTGCAAAATTTATGGCCTGCTTTATATTTTGGGCATTTTTTTTAATATTTCCCATTTAAGGATGGGGTCTATATTATCTTGTTTGGTTTTCCATAAGTAGGTAGATAGCGTGGTACTATGTTTAATTTTTGCATTCTTAAAACTACTCGTGTGGTTATAATATCTTTTTTTAAATTTATCCTGAGTATCACCTATGTATGTTTTAGGGTTAGTATCCTCAGTATTTTTGTAAATTTTCACTTGATACACCACGCATTCCTGCTGGCATTTTCCCTGTAATGGACAGATGTTTTTGTTTCTACAATTACAAGTAGAAAAAGATTATCATGAAAGTATGTTGGAATCGCTACAGAAAAGCTTTCATGTTTTTATACTTTCACTGTACTTATTCAGGCCTGAAGAAGTACAATGAAAGTATTGAAACATAAAAGCTTTTGTTTAGTGATTCCAACATTATATGATAGTCTTTGATAATAAAACAATAATATACTGCTCTACTTTGTATTGAGCACATTTTTAAAAATAAATGCTAACGAACATTGAAATTTTACACCATCTGTTCTTTTTCTAATTATATATATATATATGTGTGTGTGTGTATGTGTGTATGTGTCTGTGTGTGTTTATGTGTGTATGTGTGTGTGAGTGTGTGTGAGTGTGTGTGAGCGTGTGTATATATGTATATATATGTGTGGGTGTATGTGTGTGTGTCTGCACGTCTGTGTGTATATGTGTGTGTCTGTGTGGGAGTGTTCGTGTGGTATTGTGTGTGCGTATAAACACAAAAATGCATCAATAAGTAAGGATCCTGTCATGTCATTATCTTCATTTCGAAAAGTGATTTTTACAGTATTACGATCAATATATGTGATTAATATTTACAATGAATTCAGAATAAGTGCATTGACAAAGCAAATTAATTTTATATAAACACAGTTGCATAAGGAAAAGTACTGCTTTTACATTATTAACCCACAGGCTTACCGATGCGTATATATATATATATATATATATATATATATATATAATATATATATATATATATATATATATAATTTAAAGAAAAAAAAAAAAAAAAATTTATGGTTCCATTATAATAATTTATTTCACCAGAGCCCTTTTAAAGAACACCGAATCATCAGATAGAACTTCCAAAAAACTGAAACGAAAAGTGAAATGAAAATTGATGGGTCGTAACTTAAATATATATATATATATATATATATATATATATATATATATATATATATATATATAATATATATATATATAATAATAATAACTATATATATATAATAACTATATATATATATATATATATAACTATATATATATATATATATATAACTATATATATATATAATAACTTAAATATATCTATAATAATATATATAACTATATATATATATATATATATATAACTATATATATATATAACTAAATATATATATAACTTAAATATATATATATATAATATAAATATATATATATATATATATATATATATATATATATATATATATATATATATATATATATATATATATATATATATATATATATTCAAAACGTATATTTTTAAATATAAGAGACAAAAATTGTCCAACATTTGATAATTTTATTCTGCTGTTCGTTGATCTAAGATTTCGCCTCAGATGAGCCATCTTCAAAGATGTAATGCAAATATTTAAACAAATCGATTCACCATCAAAAATGATATTCTGTTATATTGACGCAGAACATTGCTATGCGACGATAACGGTCGCGGAATAGCAGACGCAGGTCGAAAGGTCAAGATGCGGTTCTATTGCTTTTATTCACTGGGCCATATGTCCTTGAGGCCGGGACGTACGATGGCCGAAACGTCGTGAATATGTCAATAAAGATGAGGACAACACTCGAATAGTGTAAATAATTGTAATACGTCATCTCAGAAATATATATATATATATATATATATATATATATATATATATATATATATATATATATATATATATGTAAGCAAATATATGGATATAGATCCGACAGTATGAAAGAAAAATACAGAAAAAACAATCGTTTTTGAAATCATTTTTTGATTTGCCTTGTAACGGGAAGGACTTCAAGCTTGTTGAAGATATAAGAACCTATTGATCACTACGTATTCTGACATCAACGGAAGAGATTTCTTGAACTGTTTATACAAAATTTTTCAATTGACTTTTTAATATTTTAATATTTGGAAATCATCTTCGAATACGTCTTACCAACATCGCCCACGTGACGACTACGTGATCATATTTAAACAGAACGCTGATCTGTATAAAATTTCAGTTATCTGTTTGGATTAGTTGGGCTCTTATGTCCATCGTCTTTTGTGTTAAATTTTTATAAGTTCTAATGTTAATTATGTTTAAATGACAATGTCCATGAAGATGGTCTTAAATAGACCGAAACGTCCGACGTCGACTTTATATTAACATTAATACAGCATAATTGCATATTAAGATTTTTGTTTGTTTTTTCTGTATTTTCTTTCATATATATATATATATATATATATATATATATATATATATAATATCTGGCCACTCGTATTCGAGGAAACGCGTCTACTATGGTTATTGCAGACGCCCGCTCAACAAACCACAAAGCCCACCGATACTGAGCAGACCTTAGTTACAGTTTGTGGGAGAGAGCATGCTAGATGACACGCTTATGTGGCTTCGTACTAGCGCAGCTATTGACGGCCCCCAAGGATTCCGTCTACCCAATTTCACTCACAAGGCTTGATTCAACCTGTGGTATGATTTTCCGAGGTATGATATATATATATATATATATATATATATATATATATATATATATATATTGGCAGCATATTTTCATTAAAATATTTAGACAAGTTATGTCTACTTATTCTTAATAGGATTCTCTCATAATTACGGACAAGTTTCTTAGTATCCTCATTAAAGGAAGAAAATGTAAAACTCGTACGGTACATAAGTTTAGCGCTTTTGATTTCACAAGTAAAAAAAAAATGATTTTCAGATTAACACAACAATTTTGTCTTAGTAATATGATAAGCACAACAAATTTGATGATGAGATTACGCTAATGTCAAAAGTACTCGGAATAAGATAAATATGCATAAACATGGTTACTTTCTTTCTTCCTTTAATAAGGATACTAAGAAATTTGTCTATAAATATGACCGGATCCTGACAAAGTAGTCAAAACTTGTCTAAATTATTTAATGAGACATATATATATCAGAGAATTTAATATACATAATTACATGCAGAGGTTTCCACGAACATTACATTGGCCAAACCGGCCAGTCACTCCGGCAAAGGATGGCAGTTCGTCACCAACAAATTAGGGACCCCCTCACCAGAAAAATACCCCTTATTCAACATATAGAGGAATGCGGAGGACAAAATCTGCCAAATTTTAATGTCTTCCCATTCTACCAATGCGACTATAGAACCACTGAAGAAAGGCGGATTAATAAGGAAATATTTTTCATCAGTAAGTTCAAACACATATTTAATTCATTGCATAAATAGATTCTAACAAATTCCCCTTAACATAAACGACGTTTATTGCCAGTTACGCCCCTTGATTTTCATTTTTTTTCATTGGTACAAAAACATAAGCGTGTAGAGAGAAACAGTTAAAAACTTTTTGAAAAGCTAAGCCAAATCGGTTAAAGTAAGAAAAAAAGTTTATGAAAGAAAAAGGAAGACAACAAATTATTTTTCTAA